ATTAATTATATTAAATTTATTTTATTTGTTTTGTATAGCCGGGATACTATGGTTCAAAAGGATTAAATGTTATTAGCTGTACTTTCAGAACTTTTCTTATTTAATAACATTTTAACATACGATTTAACTCTTCCTAAAAATCCAGTGGATTTTTTGCAAGAAGTTTTGGTTCCTGAGACTGCATTACGTTTAATTTTTCAGGACAAAGGCAATATATCACTTGAAGAAGCTAGAAAAATCATGGAAGATAGCGGAGACTTTGGTGATTATGTACATAGAGAATAGTCTTTAAATAAAATTAATATAAAAGAAAAAAGAAGAATGCTGTGTTTTTATTACTATTTATTGCTTATTACATGTGAATTTGTTATTAAACTAATTTAACGTTAAATAAAAAAAAGTACATTTTGTTTTAGCTCTATAATAAAACAACTGCTTATTCATAAAAAAATTTTTCAAATATTTCGAACTTTGAAAAAAATTCGCGTCGACGTTATGTTCAATTTTGGACCAATCAAATCAGAGGGGTACAGGATAAGAGTCGTTCATTGAACGTGTCATATGAATTGTGACGCAACAACTCGCTGTCGTCATTCGTGATTTCGTGATTATAACACGATCAGTTCGGGTATATAAAAGCGTTTTTGACTTTTTTTCAAAAATTTTTAACTTCTTCCCTATCTCTTACAATACAATAAACAATAAACATGTCCGCTCAAGAATACGTTGGTTACAATGGTAGGTTATATAACTTAATCTTTCTATACTTAAAATTCAGCTTCTAACCAATTCTTCAATTTAATAGCACTGGTCTCGTATTTACAAACGGCTAAAAATAAGTCGTATCGCGCTTTTCTTGAACTTAATCGGCATATCATAATTTCTTCCGTAAATTATCTCCCGTTAAATTGGAAAGACCTCGATAATCTTTGGGTTGATCGATTTCTAAAGGAATCGAAAAAGTTACCAGTAGATTTTGCTGTCTTAAATATAAAGTTGCGTTTTTTATTTTGCAGAGGGCAACTCCTGACTGGGTTCCCTGGCTCAGGAGAATTACTGTCTTTGACAGCTTGGTACCCACTCCAAGTCCTCAAATTCGGGCGCCCTAACTTTGTTGTTAATAAGGTTCTACTGGTTTGGAGAAGGAAACGGTTATGTGCCTTCCTTTATTACTAAATAAGAGAATCGCACTGCTAATATCATTACTTCCATGACAGGTAAAATCGGAACGTTCGGTGCAACGGATTAAATCGTACTGGGAAGGAGTGATTGAGGAATGTGGAAAGGTGAGTAAATACATATTATGAAGACATGTATGTCTAAATGTACTAACAAGTAACAACTTATAGTTAACTGGTACTCGTCATAATCTAAGAAAAAGGAAGAATATAAATTATAATGAAACGCAGATGGCTAAAAAAATTATGATGAATGTAAGTATTGCTAGTTTTATTAATACTATACTAACATATTTCGGTTACTTTGACTAAAGTAACTAATAAAGTAACTAAAATTCTTTTTTACAAATTTTGATTCAGGTGGAAAGTCAATCCACTCAGCCTGCCCGATTTGCAAGTGAAGAAGTGGCTATCTATGATCTTGATGATACGAGTAGAACAGACTCGGAAGATGCTGGGCAAACCAGCTCTTCAAAGGCACGTTTAACTCAATGATTTTTTGTTTACTGATCATACACTCATCAATGGTTATAACTATAATTTGACCTTGTGCTTCTATAGAAATTGGATGACGAAATCGACAATTTCCTTCGAAGTCCCAATGAGCGAAAACCTAATCAGTTTGTTGAGAAACTTAAAAAATCTGAGACCACTGATGAGGTGCATATTGAAACGATCCACCATGATTCCAGCGATGATACAACTTATGATCCTGACGGTGAAGATGTGGGTGAAGACGTGAATGAAGAAGTGGATGAAGAAATGAGCGAAATGAGCATGTCAGAATTCAAAAAGTCGTTTCTAGAAATGCGTAACAACAGAAAATGGTATCTGAAGTCAGGAAAATGTGTTGAAGACGAATTATACGCCTTTGGAATAAAATGCCGATTTGAACAGTACGTAAATTCATAGTTATAAATTGCGAATTGTGCATAACGTTATTTACATTTGATTTCGGTTTCCAGTTTAGCACATTCGTTTATTATTGACCCTTATGATGAAAAATACATCCAATATGAAATATTTACCCCCGAAGAACTCGAAGAAATTCGTAATACAGGCACAAAAGGCTTGCGTGTTTTATTACAATTTATTAAGCATGATGTATTCGTAAATATAAATTTTATGTTAATACAATATAGTCTAATAATACATGCAGAAATACTAACACATGTATTGATTTCACATATACTATTATTTTTTATTTATGACAAGAATACTGATCATCTGAATATAACGAAAATTTCATGCTACTCTGTTTCATCCATTGAATTTTCTTGATTTTCTTTATAGCTGAAATAAAAATTTTCACATCAGAGTACATTTGTTGCAAACTTATTGTGTAAAGTTACGCACCTAATTCTTTCCACTAGCGCCTCAATGGCTGATCCAAAAACATATTTCATATTACGATCGTCAACAATAATCACGAGGTCACCATATTCATTGAACCGAAATAACTCTGGCCTTTCGCTTTTTCTATGTGGAAGCTCCACTGAAATATAAATATGTCTTCGATTCAGTGTAGAAGTTTTGATTTGCTCGTGATAATTTGCGCGCTCAGAAACCTTAGATATCCGGTAGTTCTTGGTGTTTTCGGTGTAGTTCAAATCATAATTTAAATATTTCTTTCCCTTCTTCTTTTTCTTCTTCTTTTCCTTCTCCTCTCTTTCTAAATTGTCCTCTTCATTAGCTGTGGAGTCATATGGTAAATTATTATCATTACTAAGACCAATTTGGAGGCGGTTTTCTTTTTTCCTCTTTCCTGGACATTCCATATATTGAAACCACATACATGACTTGATTAACTGTTCTTTGACTTTACTTTTCTTAATAGAATCACCAGAAATCGTACAGCTTGCCGATAATAGCACTACATTTTGCTCATCATCCATGAGAGAAACCACCATGTCTGATCCTGAGTATATGTCTGGTTGAATTGCATAAGAGCAATAGGTCATATCATTAACATATTTGGCTATAGGAACGCTTCCTGATAGATTTGAAGTTGTAATAAACTTCATCGTGGAAGTGATCCATGAAGGAAGGTCAAATTGTTGTCCATTTTTCCATCTATTAAGTTCTTCTTGTACATTAAACCCACGTTTCTGAATGATTGCCGTAACAAAGACCGCATCAAATTCATTGCCGATTGATGGAATATTATTGAGCGTGATAATGTTATCAACAAAGACATCTACCATTTTTTTCTTTCGTCTTTTTTCAAGGAATAGTACAATGCTGTCGACAAGGTAAGATTCAAACGATGGGTTTATTTCGATTTCATTAAGAGTTCTATCATCAGGGCCGAGAATAATGCATTCTGGTGACTGACAAGGAATTATGCTGTGCTGGAGAAGTTCTATAGCTTCCTTGTATTTATGATTATAAAAAACACGAAGTCTAAGAACATCCATAATCGCTTTCTCTGGATTGAGATTATCCGTACCAAAATATTCACACGCGTTCTTCAAATATTTTTCCATGCCAGAGAAAATGTCGTCATACCACAACTGAATAACTTCTCGTAACACTAAATCTTTCGTTTTACCATTCGATCTCTGCGTTGATATTAACATCCGAACAAAAAATGCACAGTTTCGAGGTCGCCCCCTGAGAATATATCCCAAGAAGTTAAGAATTTCGGGCGTAACATGCGTCAGGTCAATTACGGCATCAAGGTTCCGCAAGACATCATCATGTGAAAGAAAGGGGAGCTTTAAGACAATATGAACATGCAAATTTGGAACTTTTCCAACAGAAGTTAAGAGAGAAATCCCACTCGCCATATGCATGTATGTGCCGGCAAGAAGGCTTTTAATGGGATGTTGGAGAAGATGTGCTACATAACCTTGCAAAAGATTCCATTCATTGTCATGTAAACTCCCTTGATATTTTCCAAATTCGTTTCTACATAAGATTTGCGCCTCATCACATATTAAGACTAGATGACCAACTTTGAGACAAGAATTAATCTTTGTGATAAGTGTAGTAATAGAAAGAGTATTATATTTTTCAAAGCCCAAGATATTTCGGATTTCAGAATCATCCATTTGAAGCTGTGCCAACAGCCATTCCTTTGGTGTTGAAATTTTTTTCTCAACCATCATCTTTATAAGTAAAAGTCCGCGTGAGACTACTGCTACGTCCAGCAAGTGAAATGCTTCGTTTTGTTGATCAATACGTTCAAACTGAGGTTTTACACCTCTGATTTGTTGAAGCTCTGATGTCAAATGGACGCCATAATACCCTAAAAGAGGAGAAAAATCAATATAGATTGACCAACGTTCCACCGCAATTCCAAATGCTGTCGATGTTTTTCCACCTCCTGAAACCCCGGCGAGAACGATTATGTCTTTCGATATATCTTCAATCTTTTTTAGCACAAGAGAAACTGTTTCTTTGAATTGTGGATCATCATAAAAGGGATTGTGATAATTCGTTCCAGATTTACTGTAAGAAGGAAGACACAGATCAACGGTTGTAGAAGTTTGTTTGGTTATATTACGGGGCAAATTTGTTTTGAAAAAAGAGGGTTCCGTCTTCAGATTAAAATATGGGTCATCTTGTGGACCTGGAGAGTCACTTTCCATTGTCTCAACGTGCCAAATCAAGGCGAGCGCGTCAACAAGCTGGCCAATTGATAAAACATTCATATGTGGGAAGGTCTCTATAACTAAAAAAAAAACAAGAGTGTCATGAACGAAAAGTCATTTAAAGAACCAAACTCTAGTGTAACAAACCTTTATTCTTAATTTCAGTTTTAAGTTCGTTAGAAGGGGTGTTCATCGACGAAACTAATGCAGTGAAATAAAAAGAAGTAAAACACTTAAAATCCGCCTGTTGTTGTCGATCGTAGACTTAAGCCTACAAAAAAGGTAACTTTGTTCGAGAGGTAAAGCATTGGAGACAATCACCAGTGGTGGCGGGCGGTGGGGGGTAGACAATGACGTGGATGTGTTTTGCAGTGGGGTTTGTGCCAAAATGCTCTTCAATAG